AACAGATCTCTTAAGTAGGATGTATTATTATTAAACATAATTTAATAAACATAACTTGAGCATAAAACCAGCTCTGCAAAACTTTCAAGTAGCATTAAATACTTTACACTTATCATAGTTCATCATATTTTGAAGATTAGAGACATTTTATTTACGTTTCAGTAACAGTTAGCTTTATGCTGATTTTTTCTTTTATATCTTTTATGTTTGTTACATAGTTGTTGAATTTAGAGATTAGTAAATAGGAGGCAGATTTTTTGTTAAACGACATATGAGAAAAAGAGAAAAAAAAAATAATAATAATAATAATCAGCATGATTCGCAAAAGAAGAATGGCTGTTGCTTCCTTAGAGAGAGACCTTCATTGGAAAAACTATCTGGGGGGGGGGGGGGGGGGGGGAACTTACTATAAAAATTTACAAATGAAGGCATTTTAAAATAATTACATAGCTATTTTGCTTTTGCTAAGAATTATTCCGTAAATTGTGTTTTATAGCATTTACTACAAGGTTCGTACACATTTCTGCACACGGAAATTAAGTACTTTTAAGGGCCATCAATAAAAAAATTAAGGACCTATGAGCAAATGGGAACTGAATAAATTCAATTAAAAATATTATATATGCCTGAATTTCACTTTTGTAATACCATCTCTAAAATAATCCCTAAGTAGTATCTTAATAAACATAATTACCAATTATTAATAAGTTTTTCATAAATTATAATTCGTAGCTATTTATTTTACATTTTGTGGACGTATTTGAAAGTTTTACTAACCGTTAGTTTTATGTCACATATGTGGTTAGTCTAGAGGTTTAGTAAATAGCAGGTAGATTTTATGTCAAATGGCATAGGTTACAATGAGAAGTAGGATCATAATCAGCATGGTTTATAACCCAAAAGAGTGAATGTTGTCACCACTGCTGCTTATCTAGAGGGGCTGATTAGAACAAACCTGAAAGGCCTGATGTAGGCACGGTTGGCAAGTGTTGAAAGTTAGTCAGGCTCTGTTTGATGCAGTTAGTGCCATAGCTTTGTGTAGAGTTCCATGAGTTGTAACCCAGTTAATATACTTTCAGGTTCCAATAAGCCATTAAAGCACCAGAGGTGATAAGTTGTTTTGTATTATTTTAAGTCTCACTAGATGCAAAGAATAAGTTTTACTTGAATTTCTACATTTTTTGTGTTTTATCTTGTGACCACAGTGAGTATTAATGAAAGGCACTAACTCACTTTAATATGTAGAGATAATTTTTAAGGGTAACCAGTTAGTTATAAATAACTCATTAGCTAATTAGATAACTTTAAATATTATGGATTTACATGGCCACTATTAAAATTTATTTTTTAACAATGGTTGTTAAAATAGCCATATTAAAATCAAAATCTAATAAAATTTCACAGTTTAAAATACATGTAATTTATGACATTGATTCTTAACGATATTAGTATAATTACACATTAAAAGCTACAAAACATTTATGTTTTATAACAACACTCAATATTCATCTGTCATTTTGATTTGAAGCCTTCCCAAAATTCGGGCTAGTTGAATCGGATTTCCCTCCTTTCTGTGTCCTTATTCTCCTTTGCCCTCTCCAATGTCCCTATGAGGGTTTACTTGATCTGGTAAAAGTTAAATAGTCCACAGCCCCTCACAGACATGAAGCAAATTATCGCTATGTCTGAAAGTAACTACAATATCAGACAATCGATTAAATAAGGCTCTTACTTAAAAAATAAAGGCATGTTCTCATGCTAACGAAATCAATTACAGCTCACGGTGACATAATTAAACAAGAACAGTCAAATTCAAATTAAAAATGTGGATTAGTGGTCAAAGATTATACAATTTAGTTTTAATTTAATCTGGCTCAGTAACTCTATCATATGAGGAAATAGAAATGGTAAACTATAGTAAAGGCTGAAATCATAAACAATTGGCTAATTTACATAATAACTGCACATATCTTTGAAGAATAATTTTCTTTATGTATTCAGTTTCTTTCTTCACCATTTCCTTTCATTTAAAAAAATTTTGGGATTTAATTAAGGATTTCAGTATTCTAAAAAAAAGTAAATGCATTAGAATGTATAGAAAAAGTGCTAATTTTATTTCTTTAGTAAATGAACATTCAGAAGAAATATGAAATATATATGGTAAGGGACGGTTACAGAGCTGGTGTGGCAGAATTTTTAGAATTTAGTGACACACCAAACAACAAAATCTAGAAATGGCAAAACTTTTAGAATTTAGAGCAGGCACTGGAAGCAGATTTTAGGATCCATAGAGATTGCATCAGGTGGGAAAATGCCTAAGTGTCAGCTCTGCATATGATGTATTAAGACATATTAGATGAATCTTTTAAATTGTAAGTTTTCAATTTCTTTATAAATAAAAAATCTCTTCCTATATTGCCTGCCCATGTGATAAGATTAGAAGCCTTTTGATATTTTCCACACTTGTGTCTAGTGAAAAGTAGAGAAAATAAAGGGAAGATAACAAGATCTGTATCAGGAGTTAAAACATTCAATATATGTTTCATTCTTTTTCCAGACGTTCTCCAAAAAGTAGAAATTCATGCAAACTTCTGGTAAAATACATCCATTAGGTGTAATACCATGGAGACATTTTTCATTTTGTCATATATTTCTCGAATCTTCTAGAATTGTGGGTCTCTAAATCTTGCTTTCAAATCCTTCTAAATTTTCCAAGCTGCAATGTCTAAAATACTAAAGAAAAATTATCCCTACCAATTCTGTAACAGCAAAAAGCCAGAACTCTTTTGGAAAAAAAAGGAGGGAAAAAGTGTAAAATTAATTTTACAGAGAAAACTGTGCATATTCTGAGAATTTTGAATATTCTGAGACAATTACATGGGAAAAACACTTACTATGAAAAAATTAAAAAGAAGAAATTTTTAATTAATTACATAGCTAATTTTGCTTTTGCTAGGAGCTATTTCATAAATTGTCCTTTATGGCATTATACCTTGCTTATTTTTCAGATTCAAAATATTGTACAATAAGTTGCCAAAATGAAACTTTATAATATGACAGAGAAAAATAAAGATTTTTTTATTTTAATGTTATTTTTTAAACATAATTTCTATTTATCACCATCATTTTAATTAAATTTATCAATATTACGATGTTTTAAAAAGTAGTCATCGAAAAATTCTCAGATCTCGAAATAAAAAATTTTCTATAGAAACTGATCTTAAAATCCTCAAATTTAGAACAGTTTAATAAAAGAATTCACATCTCCAAAAGCAAAAAGTTGTTTAAGAGCTCTTTGTTAAAAAAAAATGAATTTCGAAAAGCTTATGTTTCACTTCTTGCTTAGAAACTCGAGTATCCAATCATTTATATTAGAAATAGAAACTAATTATAACCCATATATTTATTCAAAAGATAACCATGTATGTCAGTGAATCACTAAAAATATTCCTCCAAAATGCTAATTCACACTGAAAATGGCAGACGTAAAAACAGACAGAAATTTCAGATGATTAAAATTAAGGACCTTCTGCTGATTTTGGCCCAAAATTAAGGACTTTTAAGGACCAAAAATCGATTCAAAAAAATCTAAGGACTTTCAAGGACTGTATGAACCCTGTATTACCTTGTTTATTTTTCAGACTCAAAATATTGTAACAATAAAGTCGTTAAATGGAAAGTAATGTCACTTTACAACATGATAGGGAAAAATAATGTTTTATCTTAATGTTACTTCTTAAAGATGGTTTTAATATATTATCACATTTTTTAATGAAATTTATCAATGTTGTAATATATTTAAAATAATCATTGAAAAATCCACAAATTCCAAAGTAAAAATTTTGTACAGAAATTTATCTTAAAATTGGCATAAGTCACCAAATTTAGAGTCATTTAATAAAAGAATTCATATCCCCATATGGGCAAACATGTTTAAGAGCTTTTCAGTAGAAAAAGAAATAATTTCAAAATGCTTGTTTCACTTCCTGGCAAGAAACTCGAGTATCACAGCATTAATATTAGAACAGTACAATGACTTGTTTCAAATGATAAATAACAGTGTGATACTTGGGTTTCAAATGATAACAATGCAATATTCAACTTTCAAATGGAACAAACTCAAATGATAACCCATGAAATAATAATATTTGTCAGTGAATGATCAAAAATATTCCTCCAAATTGGTTATTCCTACTTAAAATGGCAGTCATAAAAACAGATAGAAATTTCAGATGATTAAAATTAAGGACCTTCTGCCAATTCTGGCCAAAATTAAGGACCTTGAAAGACCAAAATTCAAATCTAAAAAACCTGAGGACATTTATGGACTCTTAAGAACTATACGAACCCTGTTTTAAAGGGTAGACTACTTCAGTATTTTTATTATTGCTAACAATAATGACATATAGTACTTTTCTAACGAACAAGTACAATAATATTACTCATGCAAAATCATGTAGGCCTGTATTTTTGATAAATAGTGCACATTACAAATGCATTATGTTTTATTGATAACACGAGAACAGCTGTCTGTGTACAATTTTTTAACTATACATGAATACTTTAATTTTTCGACAAGCATAATTAAGACCACAAATTCTTAAACTCTTTTTTCTAGCTCATAAAAATTACACCAGTTAACAGCAACAAATTTATAAAGAAAAATTATCCCTTTAGGTTCTTGCTTTAGGTTCATAGCTTACATATATGAGATAACCAGCAGTGTTACTTGACTCTCTTTGAAGAACTAAAGCATGATATATTTTCACATATCTGCTCTACATAAATAGTAGCAGCATACCAATATACTTAAATGAGGAAATGGCCATGCTTTTCTTCAGTAATCTATGGAAAAATCATGCAACTTCCATGCACTAGATATCATGATTTTAGATGGAGACAACAAAACATTAGTTCAAGCTTTAAAAAAGGGGGTGAAAATTTTAGGAATAATAAGTTGTATATTTGGTTGGCAGATGTACAATCAAAAATCAGGACAGTTGACATTTTTGCATATGCTTTTTTATTTCATAAATTTAATACTTTGTTTTAGTTTCCAAAAGGTATTAAAAAGATTACATATACAAATATTAACAGTCAAATTTATCAATCTAAATTTGGAAAGATTAAAATTTAGTTTATACAGAAAGCTTGTTTATTATTGTAATTTTTTACAGGTTGCTATAATGAATGAGTCAATTAAGGTAAAATAAGTTTATTGGTGAGCCCAAGTCAAGTAAATACAGTTAAACACAGAACTTATATAACCTGGAATAAACATGTTTTAGTAAAATTATTTTGCAAAAGTTTTTAGTGTAATTTTAAATACTTTTCCAACACAATCAATATATTTTGCACATTTAAATATGTATTATAATAAATGAGCAACTCACAACATATGCCCAAAGGAGAATTTAACGCTGAAATATTTACCGAATGCACAAACCACGTATTAACCCCTTAACTGCCGCGGGCGTATATATATGCCTTGCTCAGCCGATGCGTTAACTGCCCCAGGCGTATATATACGTCCTTCCAAACTGCTATCATTTGCTTTGCGCTGCTACACACCTAAAATTATTCGCAAAGTTAATGCATCGGCTGCGCATCTGGGGCAGTTAACGCATCGGCTGAGCAAGGCGTATATATACGCCCGCGGCAGTTAAGGGGTTAAGAAGTTAATATGAAGATGTACTTTGCATATTTTGAGTTTATCACATTATGCCTCTTTTAAATTAAAATTTTACCTTAAATAAAACAACATTTAATTTTCTTAAATCCCAACTGTATTTAGAGTACTATAATGAAGAAACAGACACACAATAATCAATAGTTTAGTTTTTTAAATTACAACAATAATTTAAAACACGACTTCCATATATAATGAGACATTTTATGATAGTAAATAACACTGAAATTTCTGAATATAACACATTAATTCATAACTAACTCTAAAGTGACAACAAATTACTGTATATCCAATAAAAATTATTACACAACACACAAAAATACTTCAAAATTGAGAATAAAAAATACTTCATATAAAATTCTAATAAAAATTACACATTAATAAAATTATTTTCCTTTAATAAAAAATACTGAAATAGATATCACAAGATGTATGAAATAGAATAAGGAACAGATCAACATCCAAAATACTGATTAACAAGTGCATATAAAAGAATCTACATCAGTGGTTCTCAACCTTTTGACTAATGTGTACCACTAAACAAAAATTGAAAAACTTTAGCATGACCACTACATTTCACAATGATTATTCTTTAATTTTTCAATAGAAATATTAAAAAAAAGTACACTTTGCCATTTGCACAACCTATTGGCTATTTGTATCAGAAAATTATTACATTAAAAATTAGTTACCATTTTAACTATCAAAATTTAAGTTATAATACTTATTCTAAAATTTAGTGTGAAATTTGGGTGTGCTTAAGAGATGTCTTAACATTTATGTCTGGTCTTATTTCACTTAGCTTAGATCATAAATTAGGATCCACTTTTAATTTTGTTCTGTATATATTTTCCAAATATAATATGGAAGAAAATCCTTGTTCACAGAAATAGGTCGAGCAAAAAAGCAGCAAAAATTTGATAGCTATATTTGGATTGCCTTTAAATTCTCTTTTTTTTTTTTTTTTTTTTTTTTTTTGGTTTCAGCCAATTAACAAGTGTGTTATTTTTTTAATCTGCAGTTTGATTTCGATTACAGGAAATTTCTATCAATTATTCTTTTTCTTCAGCAGATTTTTTAATTTAATTGTTACAAATACTTTGTTTCTTTGCATACCACCTACTTTCCTCTTGCGTACCAATGGTTGAGAATCGCTGATCTACATTATGAACAAAATTCAAAGTATAGTTGTGCCCTCGTATTCCCTGGTTGTTTAAAATTCCTTTTAAAATTAAATATATTTATATATGATTACAAAATATATGTTAAATAAAAATAGCCTATAATACTGTGAAATAGAGCAGCTCAAATGCATGTTCTCATGGCATTTCTGAGCATAAGTATAGCATACATGCACAATTTAAATATATATTTCATTGCTTATGAAGTCATTTGATAGAAAATGTTATTTTTATTGTTGAGGATTTGACTAAAAGTTGAAGTTATTTGCACTGTAGAGAATCCGCTGAAATATCAGAATCCTTCACTTTCATTCACATGAGAGGATGAAAGCAGGTAATTTCTTATCATACGTAATTTATCAAATAAAATCTTATTTGATTTCAGTATGTTACATTAAAACTGCATTACTTATAGCAATGGGTGTTAACCAATGTAGGTCTTGGAATGCATTATTCAAGAATATAAGGGCACAATTTACATTTTTCATTAACATAAGTTTCTTCCATGGGGGAGTTCATAAAACTGTGTCAATGCACTAATGTAAAATTGCAAAATTTCGCACTAGAAAACCATAGCATGATAATTCATTATCAACAAATACATGATTCATTATCAACAAATACAATATCATGTGAGATCATTAAAAATAATTTAACTGAGAAACATTTGTTACAATTTGCAAACTTTAGGCAGAAGTTACTCAACAATGTAATATTAATTTTGACAAATGGAATTGAATATTTTTATTGTATTTCCTCCATATTCTAAACATTTCAAGTGACACCAAGTTCACATTTTTATAGAATGCATTATTAAATTTTACACTTAAGAAGAAGTAGTCATGAGAAAAGTTTTCACAGTCTCAATAAAATGCATTTATTTTTAAAGAAAAATGCTCATTAAATATTTGATTGTTTTAATTTCTAATAAGTGTGAAGATCAGGTGCTTGAATTGCATAGAGAAAATTATCATAATTTTCCAACTTTAATTAAATTTATCTGATGAGCTAGGTAACATTGAACAAAATTCTGTATTTAGTATTTAATCCGTTTTAAGTATTTTTTTCCAAGAATTCTGAAAAAATAATAATACTTCAAACCTTTAACCATATTCAGTTAATAATGCTTACTAACAGTTTTTGGTTATTCCTCAATTTTTTTTTTTTTGATTAAATTCCAAAACTGTCAAAATAACTGCTAAAACACATAATTTTACAGAAGACATAAAAAATTTTTATATTTGTCATATAAGTTAAATAATCTAACAATAGTAAAATGTCATGATATTTGGTAAATTATCAAATCAGCAATGTCATTACTGATATAAGTTTTTAGAATTACAATCATTAGGAAGTCTGAGTAATTTTTAATAATTCACAAAAATATCTCAGTAATTTTAACAGTTAAATATAACAACATATGTATACAGCAAATTATAAAAAATTGAGGACTTCACTCAGAAAACGCTCAGGGTAACGGGCACATACTTCATGACCAGCATTTTCAAAACAACAAAACACTGCTTTTGGAAAATGCTTTAAAATGATTTCCTTGTCATCTAAACTGTTGAGTAAAAAAGACACAGACATTAAACAAATTATTTGGGATAACAGATATAATACTTGCAATACAAAATTTCCAAAAAAAATAATAAATAAATAAATAAAAATTATGGAATTAATTAACACACAAAACGGTTTACACATTTCAATTTTTTTATTAATTTAGCATATAAAGATATTGCAGAATCAAATATATATGAATATTTCATAAAAAAATTTGAAGTAAATGTATAATTCTGAAGTATCTCAATAGATTAAAAAAGGTTACTTAAAACTGCAACTTAATGTTAACTATTTTTAAAATAACAAAAAATGTTCAGTATTTTAATTGCTGAATCAAAAATTAAAAATAATTAAGTAACTTGACGTCTTTTCAAAAATAATTTTAAATTGGTAAGTATATTACTTTCTTGGCACAAAACTTATTCAGATAATCTGTTAAATTAAAAGATTTAAAATGGGGAGGGAAGATATGAATTATCAAAATCTTAAATGTGTATTCAATCTATTGCTTGATGAAAACTTTTACTGTACAAAGTACAGGAAGTATTGTTATCATGAAAAATACCATATTTCAACCATTCCCAAATCTTTTGTTCGGACAGAATAAAGGATTCTTTTTCAAAAACAGACTGTAAAATTCAGTTTTTTTTTTTTTTTGGTATTTTGTAACATCTGTATGTATGTAGATATTTCGAATAACTAAAAATTATCTACTCACACACATGCCCTTAACCAGCCTTTACTTTCCCACTTGTTTGTTCTAGTCATATACTTCTAATTACAGCAGTGTTTTAAATAACAAAAATATTCATCTTTTCGCAATATCAAATTAATAATAATATTGGATAAACAATGAAATCCAAACTTTATACTTGTTAAAAAAAATTAAATAGTTTCTATCCCATGTGACAAAAATTGAGCAGGCTATTTAAAATTTGCAATTTTTTATGTCATTTCCAACTTATCTTAAGGGTTATGTGTTTGGTTGATTAAATTAGAATGATCTGAGGAAATAAGTTTAAATGAAGTGCAGCAAGACTGAGATAAAATTCTTGCTTTTTAAACATATTAAATTACTTAAATATCAATTAAACAAATAAAAACTGTGATCTAAGTTTAAAATTGAAAAATTAGATTTTACATGTCACTTCCAATGCGTTTCAAATTTAATAATCAATGATGGATAGAACAAGAGTACTTACAAATATTCTAAAATTATTGTCAAATTAGCTATATAATACATTTCTACAAGTTCTGCAAACAGTCTTATTCTCAGAAAACTTAGCTAAACAAACATGATTCTAAATTGCCTTTATTTGCCTCATTATAAAACATAACAATATACGTACACATATTTTTGTGACAATAAATACTGTACAGTTTAATATAAATGATCATATATTTAGAGTAGAAAAAAAGCGTTTCTTGAGAAAGGGTGACAGCAAAATTATTATATTTTAGTAAATGATTAGTCCTTGCATGGTAGCTATATAAACTAATATTCAAAGCAGCATAGCATTCATTAATTTTTTTATACCCCTTTGAGATTCTGCTTTGAACATGTTGTCAAATTGAAGTAATAAAATTGCAGGGTAGTTTTAACTGCCCTTGAATTAACCATGGATGTTGTTCCTGTTATTATCCCATTTAGTTAGGAGTTGATTGTATTCCATTAAATAAACTAATAATACCTTAATATTCAAGAAATTTATTATCTTTAATAATATATTCAAAATATTAAACAAAAGTATAATTTTAATAATAAATATTCTAAATAAAATTTAATGTTACATGCATGTTCATACTGGATTAGATAAAAGAAAAGTACTTTTCCAAATATATAAACTAAACAAACTTACATGCAAAAGTTTGATTGACCACCATATATAAATAATGCATCACCACTGAATGCATTATTCTGAGAAAAGTGACAAATAGGTGGGTTCTTTACTGCTTCCAAAAGCGCAGTCAGATTTGTTAGTGATACAAATCCATTTTCAGTTTTCTTTACTGGGAATTTCATAGACTGTATGACCTCTCTGTCCTCATCAGGAATCATCTAACAACAAAAAATTTTAAAAATCTGAAAATTTTCTTTATTATCAAAAATAAAATATCACAGAGAAATATTTTCCAGAAGCGATTTTATTAGCTAATCTTAGCTAGACTCATTAAAATTTAACATATTTCCCTACATTACAATTGTTTTAGGTGGCTGACCATGCCAGCCCATATGTTAGAAAAATATTAATAATCAATAGCATGTATTATTTTACAATATGAACAACATATGTCATTTCAATGATTCATGCTATACATTCTATACATTTTATAGCATTAAACTTACATTTTTTAAAATTCTGAATTAATCAACTATATATTTAAAAAATGAAGTAAAATAAAAAAAATCCTTTCAAACCTCTTAATTAATCTTTCAAAATTAGGGATTTAGAGCCTGTAAGATCTTTAAAAAGACGGCGAGTTCCTTACTTTTTGCGATAAGATATTATGTTTTAGGTACTTTTTAGGTAGTTTGATTCAGCCTTAAACACGTGCATTTTTTTTTACAAAAGAAAGGGAAATGTAGAAATTATTGACTATTAGATGCTTTTTCCTTATGGACTGAAAGATGCTAGATGCTTTTCCTTGATGAAGGAAAATTTAAAGGTACACCTGATTCCAAATTAGACAGATCAGTGATATACAGAAGAAAATATATATTTTTAGTGTAGAAAACATCATTCTATTTCTTTCTATCATAGCAGACAGCTTTCTCTTAAAAAAATTGTCAGAGTTTTTATACAGTGATTTTAATTCACCTAACCAGATTAAATGCCTTTATAAATTGTTAACAAGAATTAATTCTGTCATGTTCTATTTTAAAGTTATGTTATAAACTTCCTCTATTTTTTTTTTTTTATTATTTTACAGATATTTTTAGTCTTTTTGATTTATCAGGCATCATCTCATTTTTTAATACATCTAAAATTTTTTCCATAGATTTAAAGAATTTATTTTCTAACATTTATTAACACTCATGACTTTGTTCAGATTTTTCAACTCTCTCCTCTATGAAGAAAGACTGGTTTTGGAGCAAATTCAATTGTGTCAGATGTCTTCATTAGCTCAGATAAACCCGTGTGAACAGCCCTTAATGGGCACCTCTTTCCAAATAAGTTAAAAAAAAATTGAAGACTTTTAAATTACTTACAGGAACAGTACGATAAATGCATTCTCTTAATTTCTGATGCATTGTGCCTTCAGTATCTGATTTACTTGATTGCTCAAAACATTTGATTAATTCTGCAACCATAGCTTGAAAAACATAATACAATTCTTGCTCTGGTTCTTTGGGAGACACATCTTCCACGATAATTTTTTCTACCTTTTCTGGCTAGGAAAAATACAAAAAAATGACAGCATAAAAACATGAAAATCAGAAGATTATAACATTGCACCAATTTAAAATTTTACTTATAGTCAATTTCAAATGAGTTAAAAAGCTTTAAAAAAATTATACAAATTGCCTAAAACTGTGCAGGCACAGGCTGAACGAAGGCCTATGCATATTTTTGTCTCAAATATTATTGAGCTCTTAGACATGTTATCTGTAATTACCTCCAAAGATTTTCCAGTTGTATTTTCAATTATTTAAAAGAGGAAGAGAAAAAGAAAACCTCTTGCTAGCCATGGTTTCCCATTTTGTACAACCACAGGCAAGAGCAAAAAAGTCAGTTTTATAAGCTTTTTCCCATATTTGCTCTTTTGTACAACATACAATTTGCTTTCTACAGCAGCTTTAGTAACACGGACAAAATGAGAGAAAGAGAACACATTCACAAATATTTTTTTATGGTTTATTCATTGTTTCATGCACATAAACATAATTTTCACAACTATTTTACTCAATTTATTTAATATAAACATATAGAAGTAATTTATCAAAGACATATGTACACAAAAAATGGTACTCTTCTGTTATTGGGACTGGATTAAGACAGTTATGTACGTAGGCACGTGTATATTGTACGTAGGCACATGTATATGTATGTATGTGCTCACCTGTGTATGTGTATACATACATATACAGGCATACATACATACATTTCTGAATTCAGTCCCAATAACAGAAGAGTATGTTGCAAAAGAAATACATTATTCATAAATTATTTCAAAATAGTAAAACAGATTTTTTCTCAAAAAAGTTTGAGCATCACTTTTAGCTGATTGCAGATTGAAAATAACAAACATATTGGCAATTTAGCAATAAAAATTGTGATAGCTGTGATAAATTTTACAAACTGAAAAATGTAAATCACGTGTAAATTAGAAATTCTGCTATCAGTTACCAGAATTGGAAATTCTGTCACCAATTTTGGTCACTTTCATTTCCGTGAATGTTTAAAACAGTTAGCAACAAATCACACTTTTTCAAGCCAACTTACAAGACTCAAAAAATTAGGAGATTTTTTCTAACAGCAAAAAGACTCTTTAAATGATAAAAATATTTTTTTAATAATTATTAACTCTAAACAGTCACTAATTAATATCAGCAGTTACTAATTCTGGTCAATCTATATTTAGGGGTGCCCCTTGGAATATCGGCAAGTTGTTGTTACATTTATAGTAACCTGAGTACTTGAATGTTATGAAAAATCTATTATGATGTAATTGGTTGCATGATTGCAGTGAATTTGACTGGTAGGAAAACATTTGTTGGACGTCAGTTATAAAGTAATTTGTGTATTGTGTGCTTTGCATCGTAAAATGGATGCTGGAGGTAAAGTGGGTGTTTGATGGTATAGAACGAGATAGCGGAAGGTGTTTTTTTTTTTTTTTTTAATTTTATTTTTATTATTATTTTTTTTTATATGTGGTTGAGGATAGAAAAAAAAGAAACTTTGGATGTAATTCAAAGGAATTATAAGTGTCCTGTTTGGACGAAGGAAATGCGTATGGTCGAACGTACAGATTCTTCGGATGGCTTTCAATGGGTTTATCGCAAGAAAGTTTCAAATGGTCACCATATAAAGCATTCCATTAGAAAGGGAACATAGTCTGAGGAAAGTTTTGGGTGCTGTTAAGTAATTATGTGTGCCACAGACTGAAGACACAGAAATTTCTAAATAAGGTAAGTGGATATTTCCTTTGTGTAGTACATAGTGTTTTTTATGTCATTTCATTGTTTGATTTAAAATGCAGTTTATTAAGATTATATACTTTTTGTTTGGCTCTAGTGTAGAATTGGGTGCTATTTCGATTTTTAAGTGAAAATAGCGTAGCAACGATTTTTGGCACAAAAATCGCCACTACACAAAGCGAAAATAAGAAGTCAAAAAATTGCACAAACTCGGTGTCCAAGTACTACCAAAAAACACCAATTTTCGCCAAGGGGCATCCATTCATATATTTTTACCCTAAGTCTTAAGTACAAAAATACTTACATGTAAGAAACACATTTTATTGCATCTTTTAATGAAAACAAATACTTTAATTAGTTTTCGTTCAGCATGCATGACCCAATGCATTTACTGGCAGGTTATACTTCAGTAAGAGGCATTCTCCATTAATAACTTTTTGTCCCTTTGTTTTCACAGAAAAATTTTAATTTTACTTTTCTATCAATAAAACACAGGTTGTGCTTGTGCTTTTGTGAATGCACATTTCAGTAGATCAGCCCTTCCACCGTGTGAAATCGTAAAATCACAATGACAAACAGTGAATATTGCAATTGTATTACATTTCCTTGAAGAAATAATAGAAGGAAAGTCATCTGTGTATAATTTTTGAAAAGTACATGAGTATTTTACCCTTTTTGCAGACATAGCTAAAACAGAAGATCGTAATTTCTCAAACTATTTTTTGAAAGCATGTGCACAGACACTGGCTCAGTGACCAGATGAACGAAATAACAACTGTGATCTTGCTTTATGCTCATTAGCCACTGCATGCCAGATGATATGCAGTGCCGCTCAATGCTCTCTGGAGAACTGGAGCATAACATTTTCGGATGCATGTACTCTCACTCACAAAGCAGAAGTGTGCCATAATTTCTTCCTGATAAAACGACTTTGATTTTATTTTACATGTAATCTAGAGAAAACCAAATGCTTTCAAACACCCAAAATCAATTATTTATTTATTTGTAAATAATGAAGTATTAAGCCAAACTATATAAAAATTGCAAGAAACTTAAAAAATTAGAAAAAGTCAGAAGAAATATGCTGTAAATCAGGTTGGCAAGAGGATGGTCAGAAAAACGGGAGAATTAGCCACTCCAAGTCTGAATTGTGCCAATACCATTTTGTCTGTCTTGCCAATGCCACTACAAGAAATGTATGTCTTCAGTTCTTTTGAAGTAAATTCAAGTAAAGTTACTTTGTTGTTTATTTTCATACTTGGGGTTACTTTTGGTGTTCTGTTTCTTAGTCAAATAAAAAAGCCACCAAGAAAAAGTGAGCAGGCATAGTCAGTAGGTACTGATATTAAAATATACTTCTTAGAGAAAAATGCACCGTGGTTTAATATAAATTCCTGCATTTTTCATAAATTATTACAGTTATTTAAAATTTTAAGCAGATAATACTTACTGCTTTGAGAGCTAAAGACATTACTGCAATCCCACCCATGCTGTGACCAATGAAAGATGCTTTGGGTATGCTGTTTGTATCCATGAAATGTTCCAGATCTTCTGATAAAATATCAAAATTGAAGAAATCACTTCTTTCACTTTCACCATGATTTCTAGCATCGACAGCATACACCTAAAATAAATAGCACATAGGAAAATATTCTATAAATTACAATAATGAAATTTTTATTTCAACTAAAAATGCACAATAAATATTAACCTTCCAGCGGGCGCACGTATGTGTGACATACACTAGATTTTAATTTTGCATTTGTTTCGTAGACCAGAAGGCGCTATGACCGCGTGTCCTTGGCTATTCTCTCCTCTTCGTTCACCCTTCTTTCAGTCATCTGCTGGATTTCGAGGGGTTAATGTGAGTCTGAAGATTTACTATTTGTATTCCAGAAATACGCGCGACCGTTGAAGTAAGTTTTTGTTATATCTAATTTCCTTTTTTATTATAGAAAATCATTATTCTTTTGCATCTAAATCTTATGATTTTGTATAATTTGTGTGCATAATTACTTTTAATGATAAAATAGAAGCACTGTATGCGTCAAATACGAGCGACCGTGTATGATATTTTTGTTCTTTTCTTTTCAGTTATGGCGAATAAAAGTAAAATGATCGACATGAATGAACCGAAGAATCTTGAGATTATAAGAAATATACTTTTATGTGACAGTGAAGACGATGAGGACATTATTTTAGATGAAAGCATTACAGATGAAGACGAGCGAATTTCAGAAAAAGGTGATTCAGAATCGGAGATAAGTGCAGAGAGCAATTCTGAAGAGGGAAATTCTTTCTTCCGAAGTATATATAGCTCATCAAATGAAAAACAGAAAAGTCATTGATTCTTGCACATGGCATAAAAAGAAAACTAAACATGTGTGTAACATATGTGTTCATATTCATGGAGTCATCAGTGAAGTTAAATATCTAACAGATATTTTGGATATATGGAAATGCCTCTTTACTGATAGTTTGATAGAAATCATCGCTGAAGATACGAATAAGTTTATTTCTTCTGTGAAGTCTAATTATTCTCGTATAAGGGACAGCAGAAAAACGGATGGAGCAGAAATAAGCTCTTTTGAGCTTACTTTACTTAGCTGGTATTTATCATGGTAACAGAGTTCTGGAATCTTGAGGAGCTGTGGAGAATGGAGGAATTTAAAGTAGTAATGAACTTGAAGAGATTTTTGTTTTTACTAAGAGCTTTACGGTTTGATGACATAAACACAAAGAGCAGAACGAAGAGAAGTCGACCGCTTGGCTCCAATAAGAAACATTTTTGAAAAGTTTGTCTCTAATTGCCAGAAGTGCTATTCACTTGGAGAGAATGTCACAACCGATGAGAAATTAGAAGGATTTTGAGGAAGATGTGGTTTCATTCAATACATTCCCCAAAAAAACCGAACAAATATGGCATAAAAATTTATGCCATGGTAGACGCTCGTATGTTTTACACATACAATATGGACATTTATGCTGGAGCGCAGCCAGATTGTCTTTTTACGTAAGCAACAAACCACAAGATGTTGTAAAAAGGTTGACAGAACCTATTGATAACACTGGAAGAAATGTAACCACAGACAACTGGTTTTCAAGTTTTGAGTTAGTACGAGAAATAGATGAAAAAAATTGTCATTTGTAGGTACTTTGAAAAACAATAAACCTCAAATTCCGGATCAGTTCAAGCTGACGAAAACTCGGGAACCCAATACGAGTCTTTTTGGATTTAGAAAAAATATAAACGTCACATTGATTTCAAATCTTCATGATGACGTAGCAATAGATGAAAATACCCAAAACCAAAAGAAGCCTGAGATTATCACATTTTACAATCGTACCAAAAGAGGTGTGGATACAGTAAACAAACTCTGTGCTTCCTACAATGTTGCCAGGAACACCAAGCGTTGGTCTCTTGTAGTGTTCTTCTCTATGCTGAATATAGCAGCAATCAACAGCTACATAATTCATTCAACGAATAATAGTGAAAAATTACTTAGAAGGTAATATCTGCGAAAGCTAGCAAATGCTCTTGTGAAGGAAAACGTTGAAAGAAGAATCCCTAACTCTCTTCAAAGTGAGCTGAAATTTAAATTGTTGAAACGAAAAGCAGAATTAGCTGTTGTTGAAGAAATGACTTCAGGGAAAAAAAAGATGCAAACCCTGCCAAAATGACAAGCATACTAGAATTACGAGGTTCAGCTGTGAGATTTGTTTAAAATTCATTTGTCTAGAGCACTGTAAACATATTTGTTCAGACTGCACCGATGCAATGAAGTGACTATGAAATTGATTTGTTATGTAATATTTAATGTGTTTTTTCACTTACTGATTAAAAATATAAAAGTTCAAGTTGAAATATTGGCAGTTTAATTTTGTTTTACTTTCAAGTTAGTTTGATAAGTCTTTAGTCCATTTTATATTGTTTTTTTGCTTTATACTTATTTTATTTTCCTTAATTTAAAGTTAATATTGTTTAACTCAATTGTACTTATTAACATTTAACTATTTACAAACTAATTTAAATATTTTTGCTCTGGAAAATTTATTTTTTATAATAGCGTATCTAAGAAATATGCACGACCTTTCTTGTTGGTAAAGAAGGCGCGCCCGCTGGAAGGTTAATGGTGCAGCATAACTCCAAACATAATGAAAAGCATTACCTGTAAACTAATAAATACTATATAAAAAATACATGAATTTCTAAAACCATTTATTGAAAAATACTGACTTTCCTACTTTTTGCATAATTTATAACATTAGAATCAAAGATTCCCAGGTGTTGAAAGTATTTATTCTTACAGCCAATGTATACATAGAAAAACGTAAAATTTATTTAAAGTGTATTTTGCTAGATAATAATTTTACATTACTTTTTTTTCTGTGAAACAAGTGGTTAATCCATTTTCACCAAAAGAAAAAGTTTAAAAAAAGAAAAAGGTTTTATTGAACAAAAGTTAAATCTCCAATCACAGCAAATGCTCCAAATGACACCCGCCAACACTAATGCAGGCTTGACTGCTACACACTTATAAACATACCAGGCATCTCTCATACGGTTCCAGTAGTTACAGATATCCAGTCAACAAGTTTTTCATTGAAATCATTGAGACTTCCATTAGAGATGAATATCCGTGTGACTCCAGAGGAAAAAGTCCAAATGTGATAGATCAAGTGAGTGGACTGGTGAAATGAGTGGGCCTCCATAACCAAACTATCATTTTAGATACATGGTATTCAATGCATTCCATATATTCAACAACATAATGGGCTAGTGCCCTGTCATGTTGGAAACAAAGGCATCTATTGAAGTCTGCTGGAACAGGGTTCAGAATTTCAGGAACACCTTTCACAAAAACACAAAGTATTAGTATCTGCTCAGACTTGGCATAAGGTATAAACCAATCAGGTAATTAGGCACAATTCCTGGCACTCAGAAACCACACTGGAAAAAGTATGGATTCGTGGTTTATCAGTTGCCCAGATATGACAGTTATGGATATTCATTATCCCTTATTGCTGAAATGTGCATTTATCAGTGAGCAACACATGCAGTGAAAAATTAGGATGCACAATTATATGTTTCAAAAAGCACGACATATTACTTGTATTTGACAGCTCTTGAATCCTCTACATATGCAGAGTTCATACACATTTCTGTGCACGGAAATTAAGTACTTTTAAAGACTTTTAAGGACCATTAATGAAAAAAATTAAGGACCTATGAGCGAATGGGAACTGAATAAATTCAATTAAAAATATTATTTATGCCTGAACTTCACTTTTGTAATCCCTAAAAAAAATAGATCCATAAGTAGGATGCATTATTATTAAACTACTTATTAACATAATATTATTAAGTCTGAGAATAAAATATATGAAATTATAAAGGAGCATTATATATTTACACTATAAGAACTGAACACATTTGAAAGAGATAGTGATATTTATTTAAGTTTTACTAACAGTTAGTTTTATGTTGATTTTATTTTATACCTCATTTTGTCACATACTTGCTCAATCTAGAATTTTAGTAAATAGTAAGCAGATTTTATGTCAAGCGGCATAGGTTAAAATGTGAAGTAAAATCATAATCAGCATGATGAACAGCAAAAGACTGGCTGTTGTAACTGCTGCTGCTTAATTGCAGGGGTTGTGACTCAGTTAATCAGTTAATATACTTTAAGGTTCTAATAAGCCACTAAAACACCAGAGGTGATAAGTTGTTTTGCATTATTTTAAGTCTCACTAGATGAAGAATAAGTTTTACATGAATTTTTCATTTGTGTTTTATCTTGTGACTACGATAAGGGTTAATGAAAGGCAATAACTCGCTTTATATGCTGAGATAATTTTTAAGGCAAGTAGTAAGCAGTTATAAGTAACTAAATTAGGTATAAGATAACCTTAGCATTATGGATTTATATGAACACTATTAAATTTTATTTATTTTTAGTCCTATTAAAATCCCAATCTAATAAAATTTCAGTTTACAATACATGTAATTTATGACATTCATTCTTAAATGATATTCGGATAATTACACATAAAACATTTATGTTTTGTAGTAACAATACTCAACAAAATATTTATGCGTCTTTTTAATTTTAAGCCTTCCCAGACATTTTGGCTAATTTTTATTGATTTCTGTCTCTTTAAGCACCTTTTTTAACAATCAGGAATTTGTCCATACACAAAGAATGTTCTCACTATTTTGTGTGTTTATCTCCTAACCTGTCACCCTTCCATAATGACCTAGAAGGTTATTTGATCCGGGAAAAGTTAAATAATCCAAAACACATCAACAGATATGAGCAAATTATTGCTATTCTGAAAGTAACTACAATATCGACAAAGTTTAATAAGATTCTTATTTAAAAAGAACTTAAAAAATAAACACATGTTCTTATGCTAACAAAATAAATTTCAGCTCGTTGTGATGTAATGAACAAGAAGAGTTAAATTCAAAGTAAAAATATGGATTAGTGGTCAAAGACTATACAATTTAATTTCATTTTAGGCTGGCTCCACAACTCTATCATCATAACAAACTCAAATGTCGCCAACAGTAATCCAAGACGAATAATTACAAATTATCAGAGCGGGCAAGAACTTATGCAGTGAACAAGAGGAGGTCAGAAACACACTCTTGTATTACACTCCAGAAATCTCGGTTTAAAAACTGTCTACGTGATTTGGATTCTGGTGGGAAAATAGAAAAGGGAAATTATAGCAAGGGCTGAAATTGTAAACATTGGGTAATTTACATAAAATAACTGTACATATCTTTGAAGAATAAATTTGTTTTTTCTTTATGTATTCAGTTTCTTTCTTCCAAGTTTCCTCTTCGTTTTAGAATTTTTGGATTTAATTAGAGATTTCTGATATTCTAATTAAACTAAATGCATTTAGAATGTACAGAAAAAGCGGCTAATTTTATTTCTTTAGTAATATGAACATTCAGAAGAAATATGAAATATATATGGTAAAGGCCGGTTACAGAGCTGATGTGGCATAATTTTTAGAATTTAGTGACACACTGAGCAATAAAGTCTAGAAATGGTAAAACGTTTAGAATTTAGAACAGGCATTGGAAGCAGAATTTAGAAAGGCACCAAGCAGCAGAATTTACGATCCAAAGAGACTGCATCAGATGGGAAAGTGCCTAGCGCCAGCCCTGGGCTATGCATTAAGACATATTAGAAAATTTTTAAATTTTCAATTCCATATCTTTATATAAAAGAACTCCTTTCAATAATGCCTGTCATATGATAAGATAGAGCATTTTGATATTTCTATTTTTGGGTCTAGTGAAAGTAGAGAAAATAAAGGAAAGATTAAAATGTTAAAAAAAAGATTCTAGTATCAGAAAACTGATGTATATTTTGAGAATTCTGAATATTCTGAGACAATTACATGGGAAAAAAACCTTACCATGAAAATATTAAAAATAAATTTTTAATTAATTACATAGCTAGTTCGCTTTTGCTAAGAACGGTTTTATAAATGGTGCTTTATAGCGTGATACCTTGCTGATTTTCCACATATAATAAATAGCAAAAATTGAACTTTATAATATCACAGCAGAAAATAAAAATGCTTTATTTTAATCTTATCTCATAAATATAATTAAAAAATATGACCATTATTTAAATTAATTATCAATGTTACAATGTTCTAAAATTATATCTGTTATAGAATTAAAGAGAAGTATTATCACATAAAACGAAGCAACTAAACAACTTACATTGACAATTTTAATAAAGACAAATAAATATAAGTTTTTTTTTTTTTTTTTTCGTAAATTTTGAACCCTTAGATCATAATTGTTCTTTATTTCATAAATACGGTTTATTTTTTATTTTAGAATTTCGCATGCCATCTGACGAGATTTAAACTGAGATCTATAAACCAGAAAAATCGATAATCCGGAATGGCCGAAGTCCCAACGAGTCCGGATTAACGACTTTTGACTGTATAACTTTGGAAGGAGTGTAAAAGGGCATGTAAACCCTATTGGGTCACTTTCAGTACAATTGATAGTATGTTTCGTCTTGTCACTGAGAGATCAATCAAGTCGATATTAGAGATGTCACAAAACAAAAAAATCTTCATATTTATCCCACAGAAGACCAAGTAATTTTAACCGTTTGACTGCTAAGCAATTCTTGCAAGAACACATGAAAACGCGGGACATTTTACTTTTGTTGTCAAATAAACATCATTTAGACAAATATCAATCAATTTTAATAATTCTTTTCATATTATAAAGCAACAAAGACACACTGAAACTCGCAGTGCAAAAGCGCTGTGTTGCGGTTTTCAAGACAAATGAACAAGTAGCAGTCAAACGGTTAGTGGTTCGGCCACTGTAGCCTTTTCAATTCTCAGTTCTGTTTCTTCTCACCCTCTTAAGTCAAAGTTAGTGCTTGCCATTAACTGAGTTGATTTTGCAATAAAGTATTCTGCTTCTTCATTCGAATTCACTGAATCAGTTTTGTCAACATAGAAGGAATTTTTCAATTTTGTAGCCACTTCCTTCAAAGAAGGTTCACATTGGTCTAAATGGATTTGATCACTGCTCCTAAAAGAAACGAACAGTATTTTAGTCCGAAGACTACTCTGCAATAGCGAAATTGTCTTATTTCCCTTTGTTCCGAGATTTTCCACCATACAAATCTTAGGAAATCACCATCAGATCTTTGAAGAAATGCTCTTTTAATATATGAGATAATCCCTACTTTCCCTTGCTTAAATTCAAGAAACAATCTAGGTATTAATTCAAACAAATTTTGATCTCTTGCTAAACAGTCCTTAAGTGATAGGAAATCTTTTTGCTTGCATGAAGTATCAAATACAGGCCTTACTGCTGTTGTACAGTTATCTTTGAAGACCGGTTTGTGGAGAAGATAATGATTGTTAACTCATTCCTCTTCTTCTGTTACTTCTTTATTACTCTAGATTCAAGTCGAACACTGCATTATATGTTTCAAATTTATCTTTCAACATGAGCTTCTTTGTCATGGAAATCAATCGTTTTCCAGCAACTTCTCTGTTACTTGGTAAAGCTTCTTTATCGTTGATCCAAGGTAAACTGACTTCATATCGATTATCCACCCTCTTCAGAGTGTGATATCTTGTGAAAGTGATCCCACACTGCTTCTTCTAATTCTGAATCAATGTTATATTCTTCAGCATCTGTTATTCTCAGTGCTTCTAGCTTCCATAAGTTTCCTATGTCACTACTGTGAGTCAACATCAATGTTATTGTTGATGATACTGACAAGGAGTTTCTTTCCGAAACGTTATCTTTTATCTTTCCCATGACTGTCCATCCAAGTAGTGATTCCACAGCAGTCAGCCCATATTCTAATTTCTGAATTCTTCCGGTTGACAGAGCACTTGCTACTGCTGTGAAGAAAGGAAAAGCAAGCAAAATTAGAAAAGGAATTTCCTTTTCTAATTCCAGCGATGTCAGCTCCAGTAAGAAATTCTATTTTCAAATCCTTTTTTCCTACATCACATGCATG